ATTCGAAAAAAGGCGCGGATGACGTGGCCCGATCAAAAAAAAAAAAAAAAAAAAAAAAAAAAAAAATCCCTCGAAACAATAGCAGCAGTCCGCTACACCAAAACATCCATTCCCAAACATCATCAAAAAAAGTCACCGTTCGAAAGTTCAAAAAAAAAAGGCGCTCTGAAGCGTACGCGAAACAGCGGGCTCACGAACCTCTTCGTGCCAGCCCTCGACTACGACTCCTGTCTACGACACCCCCACCCCCCCCCATCAAACAAGGACCGAACCCATCGACGACTCCACGTCATTGCGCGGGAAAACCAACTTCTCGGCCACGGCGACAATGAAGAGCCAAAATACGAAAAAGACGACCTCAGAGGACGAATGCTACATCAGCGATCCCGTCGCACTCCCGCTGCGCGACGAACTGGACCTATACAGCGCCGTGGAATACAAGAACAAACACCTGAAAAGAACCCAACCGCGACGGCAGACCCTCACTGGCGATCGCGCGCGTGAGCGAAAGACGAAAGAGCTGTCGGCCGACTATGGCGGGACACGACTTCAATGGGACGAACAGGTAGGCGGCTGGCTGGATCAAACATGTTTCATCCGCTGCGCCAGTGCATTGCGGAGCGCATGAGCCTCGCGCGTCGAAGTCAACATTGACACTGTCTGCGGGGGGCGATGAATCCCTAGGTCCACTCGCCGCCTCACCCCGTTCGCGTCGACCTCCCACAACAGATTCTCGTCGAACTCGATTCCTGCATTGAGCAGGATGTTGTGGAGAATGCATACCTCCGTGAACTGTTGCGGCAGACTGTCGAGGTTCGTCTTGTGCGTTCGCAGGAAGAGCCTCCACATCCCTTTCAACCTCCCGAACGCCCTCTCCACGGCCCCTCTTGCGACCTTCTGCTTCGTGTCAAACCTTTCCTCGTCCGGGTGCTGATTGATTCCTCCGTACGGCACCACCACCCACTCAGAAGGAGGATACCCGTTGTCGCCCAAGATGTATTCGTTCGTCGTCACCCCTCCCGGCGGCGTCACAGGCGGCCCACGAAACAGCAATCCCTCTTCCGCACGCCTCGACAGACTTGACAACTGGATCACCCTAATGTCGTGGCAACTACCCAGATATCCGACGAACACATCAAGGACGCGCAGATCCAGGTCCACCACAACCTGCACAATGACGGAAAAACGGTGCTTGCGGTCGAAGTAGTTTTCGTTCGGCGCGTTCGCCGGTTTGTCCACATAGATGTGTGTGCAGTCAACTGCGCCATGGCAGTTTGGAAAGCCCTTGTCCAGAAATGCCCGTAGCACAACTTGTTTCCGCACCCCCGTCGGCCACGATATCTTCTCCGCGTACACCCTCAAAAATTCAAAATAGCGGTTGTCACATCGCGCACGGCTCGAACTCTGGAAGTCCTGCCCATGTTGAAGGATGATGTCCTGTTATCGTAAGACTCTCCTGTGCCCCACCTATACAGCGCGTACGCGACGATCTGCTCCGGCTGTAGTGGCTCCCTGTAAAACGTCACCTGCCGCTGCACATGAGGCGCACATGCTTTGCTGATCTCCATGAACACTCTCCTGGACATACGGAGCTTTTCCCGGAAGTAGTCGTCTGTCGCGTCATCGCACACCCGTAAATCCTCCCAAGTCCCGCCAGATCTCCGCCGCATCCACCAACGTGGCGTCGCCCGAGGAAGCAAACCGCACCCGATTGCAGCACACAGCTGAACCACGGCTTGGGATGTGGTGATGCAGTCCGGGGCGTCCAACACCCTTTGCAGCAGTAGCCTCTGCCACCGCCTCGAAAGCGCTGCCTTCATGCGCCCGGCCGCACTCTCGATTTGGAAACGATGGACAACGGCAACCGCAGCCGCCGCGACAGCTGTCTTCTCCGTCGTCGACAGCACAGCAGGTCCATCGCCGTCCATCACGTCCTTCGAAGACAAAAAACGACGTTCACCGCCGCCCACCTCCGTGCACCTCTGCCGCCACGTTTGAAGACGCCTGCAACCATGTCTGGAAGACAGCCCGGCCCAACGACGCGATTTCGATTGGAGCGTCCACCCACCGCCGCTGAAGAGCAGGACCGCCGCGGCGCCTGCACGTGGTGAACGCGACTGCCTACCGGACGTCTTCGTTTCGCCGCGTCGACCACACGTGACGCAGTGGTGGTGCGGCGCCGCTGAAATGCGCAACGCGATGGCAAACGAAACCCTGCGCGGCGTAGACTGCCCCCTGGCCGACCCACCTGTGCGCCTCCGCAAAACCAAAATTCGAAATTCGAATTTCGAAAGGGGATTTTCCCGCGTTGGCGATTTTTTTTCCAAGGGCCCGTGACGTTTTCCCGCCGTCCGCCTTTTGGACCACCACGCCTGCTACACGGACATCCCGAATCGGAGGCCGGACATTCCTCTCGCGGCTGTGTATAATCTAATTAAACTGGCCGCGGGAGGGCCCCGAGGATTCTTCCTCAGGGCAATTCTCCGAGGACAGGTGGAATGACACCTCCAAAAATCAAAAATTACTCCAAGGATTCGTCCTCGGAGCCCGAGGACGCCCTGAGGTGTGTGGAACAACGCCCTTAGTGCCTCCTCCTTTTAGGCTTTTAGGCAGGTAAGTAGAAATAAAAAACTTCTTAGCCTCTTGGAAATACAATTCCACTAGTCGAATTTGGACCAGTACAGCCAACAGGCTTTTGTACTATAATCAGTTTTTAGACGTAGGCATAGACGCAGACGTAGGCATAGACGAAGTTTTGAAGCTATAGCCGTAGAATTAGGTTTTGCAGCCTCAGATCTGCTGGGTTGAAAAAGGCCCGCAGGCACAGCCTGTAAGCTAAGCTGGATGATGCTTCCAACACTTTGCATCCGGGAGTAATGTAGAGGTCCCAGGCCTCTGATGAAAATTTGGAATGGATTTGAATTTGCAAAAAAAAAAAAAAAAAAAAGAACTTCCCCCAAAAAGAATAAAAAAAATAATAATAATAATAAATTAATAATAATAATAAATTAATAATAATAATAATAATAATAATAATAATAATTAAAAAAAAAAGAAAACGTTCGGCAATAGGGAAACTTTCCCTATACAGAAACTTGACATCCTCTTGACAATGCCTGTTCTCAACCAATCCCTGGCTCTCCTGTCCACATGGGATGGCTGAACAGAGGGAGTTGCCCCCTCTCACCAATGGGCAAAAGCAACTGAGTGAAAACGTCTAACACATTATTATTTCTGAGCGTTTTGGTCGCTCAGTGCAGATGAATGTGGGGTCTCAAATATCTTTTTTTTTTTTTTTTTTTTTTCCATATAAAAAGGTGCCTTGAGGGCTTCATTATAAAATTGTGAATGAGGCCGGGAATCCCTGATACAAAACAACCCGGAAAAGTAAACCTGAATGTGGGCACCATTATGGTGCAGACGCATCATTAAACGCATGCATTGGGATTGTACTCTAGGGACAGAGGTTGGTCAGATCCCGACCGCTGCCCTGATATTCCACAACCCTGATATCACACAACAAAGGGCATCGCCACACTGCTCTCGAAATGTGCAAAATGAGAATGAACTTCCCGCGAGAACATGGCCAGATGAGCCCGCCACATTTTTGTCGTTTTCACAATTCGAGAGTGGTGTGGCGAGGCCAGCGGCCTAGAAAGCCCCACAATCCAAGGAGCTCCACCCCAAACGAAATTGCCTCAAGGCCTGCAAATCCCAACGAGCAAAACATTACGTAGAGTGCACAAGTCACCGAATTCCACTACACCCGAACTAAGTATAAAAGCCCCTTCCTAACTACTACTACATGCTGCGCCTACTAAGTGCAAACTAATATTCATGAAGTGCTATCTCTAAGGTCTTGTCTACAGCGACAGGATTGTCTCAGCTAAGACAAAATACTAAATAACGTGGGCACTCACTTCACAAAACAAAAAACCCACTGCCTGTCTACTGCGACAAGTACACAACAGAGCGCTCAGGTTGAAAAGAACAAGTCTCTAAGTACCAATCTGTTCTCATCTGTAATTAAGGCCATACAATCACTGTTCTCAGACATTCTCAACTTCTGTATAAGGGACGCTGGACCCGTTTTCCAGCAGGTGTTGCTCCCCACCAATAGATGGAGCCCCTCCCTTCCCGAGGTGTTAGTGGTGTCTGCTCTTATCAGCCGCACTAACACTGACGGGGGTTTTT